TCGGCGATCAACGTGTTGACACAGTCAAATTGTTCTTATCTCGAAAGATTGGTGAGATTTCTTTTGTTAATACGGAACCTTCATTTCTGTAATCAACTTGCTGCCCGTTTGTCGGATGCTCGAATATCGAGAAAATTTGATCGACTAATGGGAGAAGCTTGTTCCAGCATCATTACTCGGGACGTCGTGCGTTTCGTTGTGTAACAGAAGTCAAGTTTGGTACACGTGGAGTTCGATGAAAGTATCTTTGGCAAGCATGAGAAACGTAATTGTCTTGTATGTACAGAGTTGTAAACGAACATTGTGTAAATTCAACAACTGTTTCATTGATCACCACCTACGCTTCATAATTTCTTTTTCAGTTGAAAGCTGGTTCACCTTATAATATATACCGGCGATTGTAACTCCGTTTCTTACCAGCTCTGTAGCCGGTATTGAAATCTTTCACGTTCGAAAAGTACACCGTTTTGATACTTCATTCAACAACTTACATAACGCGTTGAAGCTTACCGTTTTGCCGCGTGTCGTGTAAATGTTTGCCTGGTCGGAAAATTATATACGGTTTAATTTCATAATTGCAAAAAAGGAACGAGAAAGAAAAAAAAGAAAGAAAGACAATTACATTCTCTAATTCGTGAGAAAATCGTTCGATGGCGAAATGATCTCCGGCTGGTTTCACTTGTTCTTTTTTTTTTTTTTTTTTTTTTACTCACATTCACGAAAGATGCGCAAATTCGCATTTCGTTACGGTCGATAAAGCGAGGAATGCCGGAGCACGCGTGGAAAGCACCGAGGTGAAACCTGGATGCACCGAAAAGGGTCAAACAAGAGGCGCGCGTCACACGCCAGCATTTACGATGACCCAACAATGCATTCTGTTACGGGCAGAGGAGAGGCGTAAATATGCTGGCTGCATAAACCACCAACGGCGAGGCTCGGCAAACTCGACCTCGATTTTCCACCGCCGTGACAAACTTTTGCATCATCGTAAAACATTTCCCGGCGTGACACTTTATAGCGCACTCAATTCGCGTTAAGTTTCGCGAGATTTCCTCGAGGTACTCGAACGCCTCCCACTTACAAGCTATCGGCCAAGTCGTCCGCTTGCAGTCGCCCGAGCATTCCGCGCTCGAAATGTTGCCCTCGATCCTTGATTCCGCTTTTATGGGACAACGCAGGCTTTATTAGCCATTTTTATAGGAATTACGAGGCGTTTAGAAGATCTCGATACGTGTCTCGACCCTTGATTCCGCTTTTACGGAGCAGCAGTTTTATCAATTATTTTTATAGCAATTACAAAGCCTTTTATCGTTAGTTTGGAAGGCTTCTATAGTAACGCATCGTTTACTGAAATCTTTAATTTAATCCCAGTACGAACGCGACTCACGATACGGATATTAGCGCTAATAATCCGCGATTTTACTGCAAACTTGCAAAGTTGGTATTATCGTAAAGTGCGTGTATAAGGGACGTATTACATACTTGCACAGTTAACACTAAAGTTTAAAACGATGCTTTGGATATTCTCTCGAAGTATTCGTAAATCTTGATTCGAAATCGACACGAATCTACGAGATTCTGTCATTAAGAAATTCTGTTCTACAAAATATACCTTTAACAGACCGTTCGATAAATCCCGCTGGATCTCAGACTAAAGGGGTCCATAGACGTTAAAACTTGCTGCGATGCATGCATCAACTCCTAGGTTTCATGAAACGTCAGATCATATTTCTGAATCAGCTTGCCCTCTACTCTACCGATTCTTCAGTTCTTCGTGTGACG